TTTTTGTTGGTGTGATTACTGAAGAACCCATCAGTTAAATGGAGAGGAAAAGTCTCCTGGGAATGAGGGCTAGCTCATGTGTCTGTTTTTGTTTGTTCAGGTGGGTTTTTGTGTTTAATTAGAGCGTATAGCCATAGCCTACCATGTCTTTAGCCTGCTGAAAAGACCAGAGACACTTTTGAATCCAAATCAGTTCAGCTTTCCAGATGCCACCCTCTAGAGCAGCACAAGCAGTGCTCAGTGCCAGCCTCTCACCTGTACCCTGGGATAGCTGCCACCTAGTTTCATAGAGCCATTTTGTTGGTGGGAGGTTGTCCAATACAGCCTATGGCAAGTGTGGAGCTTTGGTAGCCCATCCTCTCTGTCCCTCTTCTTATGCACTAAGTCCTGGGTTCACCCTGGGTTAATCATCTCTCAGAAGTTCACCCTGATTGAGCCTCAGAACTGCAAGTATTATTCTGGGGGCTAACTAGTCCACATGTCAGAGCTTGCTTCCAGAAAGCCTCTTCTAGAATGAGTGTTTTCACATGGGTCTGAAAACTTGGAGCCCTTTCCCCTTGGAGGGAGTCAGGATGCTGGTCTGTGGGAAGAAAGCTAGGAGAAGCTTTTGTGAGGCGTTCCGGAAGTGGGTGCCGGTTACACAAGATAATCTCCTCCTGTGCTTTGTTCTGTGATTACTTCAGAGCCTTGTGATAAAGAGACTGGAGAGATATTTCTTGGGGTGTTAGAAATCAAATGTTATTAATATGCTAATTACAGCAGGTTCATTTGCCATTAAGGCAGGTCCTGCAGAGCCTCCCTTTGGCAACTGTTGATGTTCTGCTCTAGAAATAGAAAGCCTGTCTTGACTTTCTCACCATCAGCCCACGTTTACCTTGGATTTAGCAGGTCCAGTCTGACTCCTCTAGTGAAGGCTAGATGGTGATAAGAGTGAGGGAGTTGTGACACATTTCAGAAATCAGTCAGTGGGGAGATCACACAGTATGTAATAGTGTTTCTGTACAAGCATAAGGTCCTGAGTTTTACCTCAGATCCCATGTACAAAAACCGAGTATGGTAGCACACTTGTAATCCCATAAGCAGAAAGGTATTCCATACAGGCAGATCTCTGGGGCTTACTGGCCAGCCAGCCTAGTCTCCCTGGTCAGTTTCAGGCCACTGAGAGGCCCTGTTTCTTTGGCTTGTACACACACACACACACACACACACACACACACGGCGAGGAACCTCAGAGATCCATGGATTCTGGGGTGGGTACTGTGTTACCTGTTCTTGTCAGTGGACATGTAAGCATTATTTTTATGTGTGTTTGGCTTTAGTTTTTTTTTTTTTTTTTTTTTAGCCTTTTTTTTAGATTAATGAGGCAGATGCCCTTTCTTCCACATCACTTTTGTCCCAGAACAGTGGTTCTCAATCTTCCTAATGCTGTGGCCCCTTGTGGTTACCCCAACCATAAGATTATTTTTGTTGCTACTTCATGACTATAATTTTGCTACTGTTATGAATCATAATTCAAATATCTGATATGAACATGGTCTTAGGCAACTCCTGTGAAAGAATCATTGACCACAAAAGGGGTCATGACCCACAGGTTGAAAACCACTGCCCTAGAAGTACCTGGTTTATGAGAAAAAGCAAAACAGCAGGCACCCAGCTAAGAACAATATTTGTTTGGAAATCTGAGAGAAGAGTGGCCTGTTTTCATTTAAGGTGGATCCCTGAGGATAGGAAGCAATGTGACCAATCCCTCAGCTTATTGAGGAGCTGGAGTGAAGAAGTCTGCCCTCTCTGAATTGCTGGGGACTTTCATTCACTGGCAAGAAAGAGAATAATCCTTTGTTGAAATGGGGGCTGAGGTTGTCTGGTGGTCATAGGACTCTTTTTTTGAAGAGACAGCTATAGATTATAGGAAAATAATATGTTACTAATATACTTCATTCACACAGCCAACAATATTTATTAAACAACTGCTATCTGCCAGACTTGAGTTAGGCACTATACATATACTAGGGAGCATTCCGATTACTATGCTCAAATGATGGGGAGGTGTGGAGCAACTCTTTGTATCTACAGAGTCTCTGGGTTGGGGTTCAAACATAGCAAAGCCCAGATGTTTAATTTCCTCTACATAGTGTTTGAAATCTCAGTTTTAAGAATTTTAAAGCTGAGAACTGAAAGTCTAATTCACTTGGTTGTCTGGCTGTTGGTGGATCTTCTGTTCTTTTCCATGTGGCCATACCATGTGTCTGAGGCTTCCCCTACATCATGATGGTTGATTACAAAGGAACATTTCAAGAGATAAAAGCTATACCTGTTTTGTGGCCTAACTTCTGAAATCATAAGAATCACGTTTATCATGTTCTGTTAGTTGAAATAGTGTTGAGTCCTTTATTCAGATCCAAGTGGAGGAACACCCTTTCATAAGCAGCATATGGAGATATGTATATAAAATCAAGAAGTATATAAGAGGTCCAGAGAAATGGCTCAACAGTTAAAAGCAAATACTGCTTTTTCAAAGGATTCAAGTATGATTCCCAGAACTCATGTTAAATGGTTAACAATGGCCTGTAACTCCAGTTCTGACACTTTCTTCTGTTGTCCGAGGGCACTGTAATCATGTGCACACATGTCTACTCATGCATAGACACACACATATACATACATACAATTTAAAATATGGAAAAATTTAAAAACAGTGTAAGAGAGACTTGAAAAGCTGAATGAGAAAGAAGGCATAACAAAGAACAAAGTGGATTTGAAGAATAAAAAATTTTCAATTGACAGTGTTCCTTTGTGGGGAAAAATTAGAGCCGCTGCAGTGGAGTCCCAGTGGATTTCCACGATGCGGCTGGTCCCACATGCAGGAGGAACGTCTATGGTTCCAGCGGCCTGGAGGCTTTGGTGACAGCAGGCCCCAATGACACGAGGAAGTCCTTGGTTCCAGAAAGGTTTATTGTCATGGCAGATGGTGGATGGATCTAGGTGTACCCCCGTAAAACTCAGGGCAGTCCCAAGTTATATAGGGAGGGAGAAAGGGGGAGGATGGGGGAGGCATGCTTAATTTGCTCTGCCCTCTGGCCTTCATTAGTATGTAAATCCCTAGGGCCCGAGGCCTATAGTCTGGCCTATGTGACTGAACAATGTAATTCTATGGAGACTGGACTGCTTTTCAGGACCCTGGGTTCTTGGGGCACGCCGAACTCCTACCGGTTCTCATGCAGAGTCTCGGGGTTCTAGGCAACTGCTCAGCCATGACCCAGGATACCCTTACGCAGTCCCACATTCCTTGGCCTTACAGAAGCTTTGCAATTTTATGAGGTCCCATTTGTCAATTCTTGATCTTAGATCATAAGCCATTGATGTCCTGTTCAGGAACATTTCTCCTGTGCCCATATGTTCGAGGCTCTTCCCCACTTTCTCTTCTGTTAGTTTCAGTGTGTCCGTTTTTTATATGGAGGTCCTTGATCCATTCTGACTTGAGTTTTGTACAAAAAGATAAGAATGGATCGATTTGCATTTTCCTACATGCTGACCTCCAGTTCAACCAGCACCACCTGTTGAAAATGCTGTCTTTTTTCCACTGAATGGTTTTAGCTCAAGTGACTATAGGTATGTGGGTTCATTTCTGGGTCTTCAATTCTATTCCATTGATCTTCTTGCCTATCTCTGTACCAATACCATGCAGTTTTTATCACTACTGCTCTGTAATACAGCTTGAGGTCAGGGATGGTGATTCCCCCAGAAGTTCTTTTATTGTTGAGAATAGTTTCACTATCCTGGGTTTTTTGTTATTCCAAATGAATTTGAGAATTGTTCTTTCTACCTCTGTGAAGAATTGAGTTGGGATTTTAATGGGGATTGCATTACATATGTAGATTGCTCTTGGCAAGATGTCTATTTTTACTATATTAATCCTGCCAATCCATGAGCATGGGAGATCTTTCCATCTTCTGAGATCTTTCTTCAGGGACTTGAAGTTCTTGTCATACAGATATTTCACTTGCTTGGTTAGACTCACACCAAGGTATTTTATATTATTTGTGACTATTGTGAAGGGTGTCATTTCCCTAATTTCTTTCTCAGCCTGTTTATCTTTCTAGTAGAGGAAGGCTACTGATTTGTTTGAGTTTATTTAGTGATGGACCAGCATCACAACCAGAGGAGAGGCCTCAGAATAGGAAGTAGGAAGTAAATGAACATTGGGTAGCACCACAGTTGGCTCTAGTGATGATTATTTTTCACTATTAACTGCATTTAGAATCCTCTAGGAGACACAACTCTGCATATGTCTGTGAGGATATTTCTAGAGAGTTTTAACTGAGGATAGAAGACCTGCTATGAACTTGTCAAAACGAAGCCATACACTAGGGTCTTAGTGATAGTAAGTAGAGAGTTGAGCACTAGCATTCTATGCTTTCTAACTGTAGATGAAATGTGATCAGCTACATCTTTTATACCATGATGGACTGCATCTCTTCTTAATCTGTGAGCCCAGATAAATCCTTCTTTTCTTTGATTGCCCTTTATTTCTTTTTCTCTAAAAAGTTTTTTATTGATCCAGTTACATGTATATAAGTTATAAAGCATTATCCAAAATTTCTGCTTTCAGAGCTGTTCTCTTGCTGCCCATTCTGTTTCTTCTCTCTTTTTTTTTTTGGTTTTTCAAGACAGGGTTTCTCTGTATAGCCCTGGCTGTCCTGGAACTCACTCTGTAGACCAGGCTGGCCTCGAACTCAGAAATCCGCCTGCCTCTGCCTCCCAAGTGCTGGGATTAAAGGCGTGCGCCACCACTGCCCGGCAGTTCTGTTTCTTCTCTTGTCTTTCCAACTGTAGACTAAACCATAGATGGTGGTTCATTCACTGGTTCTATAGCTCTTTGTTTAATGAGCAGAGTTAGTCTGGTTCCTCAGACTCTTCAAAGGATCTTGGATATAACTTACAGAATGAAAGTTCTGCATGTTCTCAGGGACAAATACTTTGGTGGAAGCCCTAGTCCCTACACATATAGGAAAAGCAAGTGGTAGCTGTGGGCACTGTGTTGACCTCTGCTGTTACAGTCTCTTCAATTATTCTGGCATGCAGTTGGAGATGCCATAGCCACAACCAGCTATATCCTTGGAAATATGCTGCTTTTATTTATTTGTTATGAAACTTATTATGAAACCCTGCTAACCTAGAAATTGTATATATACCAGGGTGACCTAGAACTTGGCAGTGCAGTGATCCTCCTGTCTCTACCCTCTTGAGGTGAATATGTGCTTTTCGATATTTGAGGACCTTTTTTTGGTTTTTTGAGACAGGGTTTCTCTGTGTAGTTCTGGCTGTCCTGTAACTCACTCTGTAGACCAGGCTGGCCTCGAACTCAGAAATCCACCTGTCTCTGCCTCCCAAGTGCTGGGATTAAAGGCGTGTGCCACCACTGCCCAGCTTGATATTTGAGGACCTTAATTCCTCAGTCTTTTATTTGCACCATGAGAGGAATGAGACCTTGATGCACTATTAGAGGTCAAGTTGAAAGAAGTCAGTGGGTGCACTGCATTTCAAGCAACACCTGGGGTTTTCATTGCCTGACAAAGCAACATCTGAAATTGTTTAGATTTAGCGGATATAAGCAGGTGAACCCTCTGTTTCAGTTAACCCATTATGGGCAATTGTTCTGTATCTCTCTCAGGCAGTAAGTGAAGGTGATAGATAAAAGAAGTATGGCAAGAATGTCTAGTGCTTATAATAGATAAATAGTATGGACAGAGGATCTGCCATGTGCCAGACAGTGTGCTGAATACTTATGAGACCCATTTAGGATCCAGAAAATAAATCTTTGTGGTAGTCATACATTTAGTACACAGTGTGACAATGTAGGTTCAGTTGCTGTAACAAAGACACTTCCCCTCCACATCCACTAAAACTGATAAACTAACTTCAATGATTTCGAAATTATTTCTCTCTTAAGGAGCAATGTACTGTGAGGTCTAGGGTTTTTATGGAAACTCTTATCTTTGATGATTAAGTTTTTAGCCTCTATTTATTTATCATTTAGTTAACAGCCTGTAGGATGTTGTCTTCATTGATATGGTCCAAGATGACCCCACTTTGTCTTCATTCTGCACTGTGGGAGGTGGAGAAAAGGAAAGGGCCTACATATGAATCTAGATGATCTACTAGTGGTTTCCTGCTCCTGGCTCTCTACTATCTCATTCCCAACGGGTCAGCATCAAGGAAAAGCTTAGAGCGCTTTGGTCAAGGATGGTAGTTGTTTCTACTAAAATCACTAATGTCTAATACCATGTAGGGTGAAAAGTGAATTGGTTTTAAAGAGACCAGTCATGAAGACCTGAGTTTGATTCTGAGAAACCCTGTAACAAGTTGGATGTAATGGTACGCACTTGTAATCCTAGAACTAGAGACATAGAGACAAGTGGATCTCTGGGGCTTGCTGGCAAGACTCTGGTCCCCATGAAAGATGCTGTCTCAAAAAAAAAAAAAAAACTGTTTTCAACAAGTTGATCTCTGATCTACATGCACATACACCCTGCGCCAGTATGTAGTTACCCCCCTCAACCCAATAAATAGTGTATAAAAATTTAGAAACCAAAACAAAGGGGACAAGTCCTGAAGAATACCTAAAGTTGACTTCTGCTCTCCAGATGCATGCAGTCACACATATAAATATGCATACACATCTGTGCACACATATACACAAAGGGATGGGGGAAGTCACCCTCAGCCAAACAAACTGAACAACTGAGGATGCCTATATGATGGGATTGAAACTGAGGCAATCAACAACCAACATGAAGTGCATCCAGAAAAATTCCTTCTGAGGTGGAGGTCTGAAACTCTTGAATTGAGCCAAAGTCCGAATGACCTGATGGTTCTTCTGCCCTAACCCTAATTTTGAACATTGTATGTAAATTGTGCTTTGATGTTGGACATTGAGGTGCTGCTTTTGGGAGGAAGTAGGTACTTAGAACATTTTCTCTCCTAGAGGCAGTGACTAAGGCTATGCTGTCCTGGTGAGCACCAGTCACCTACCCTAGTGGATCCTTGCTCAGTACAAAGCATAGGTACAGCCTAGCCTTTCAGAACCCATCCTTTGAGGGCTTGCTTGGGGAGCTTTCCAATGTGACAAAGTGATTTTGAAGAGCTCTGAATTTACCCTTGTTATGTTTTCCTGAGCAAATCCCTTTTCCAGTTAATTGCTTAGAAGGAAAAAACAAGAAACACGGACAGTTCCGTATGGAACTTTTCAGTGACAAACAGCCATAGTGGGGTACACTTCAAGACCAGTTAGAAATAAGGATTCACCACAATTGTGGTTTTAATCAGCCTAGTTACTTTTTTTCTTTTTCCCAGGTATCCCTCATGTTAAGTCACCTGGGAGGGATTCTTTTAGGTTTCCCATTAGGTAAGTATTTGTTTCAAGGCTGTCAAAGGGAAGAAAGGAACAGAACCAGGGAGCAGCATGCCAGCTCTGAGGAAACTGGTGGGGTCTAGACAGTTATAAGATATGTGGGAACTCTTAAAACAGGAAGAGGCAAAGAGAAGCATGTGTTCAGGGCTCTGCCTGTGTCTATTCAGTGTTTGTATAGCTGAAAATAAGTGGTATTTGGCAAGAAGTGGTACTGCATGCTGACAAATTGATTGTGCTCTTTTACTGAGATAAAAATGAAAATTCATGAGGCAGTTTGTTTTCTTTGTCCTGATGATTAAAGTGTCTATTTGGCTTCATGCAGAGAAGGCCCTTGAAGAGACACCTGTATGGAATCCATCACAGGCGTCTAGGCTGGCAGAGCAGCTCTGCCTTGTGGTGTTCAAAGTGTCAGGTCTGAGGGAGGAGGCTAGAATGGCCTCCATTGGGGTCATTGAACCAGACTTGGGTGGAGTCCTTTAGTGAGGATTTTGGAATTTTAAAGAAAGATTTATTTATTTGGTGTGCTGGGGAGATGGCTCAGCTGTTAAGAGCTCTGGCTGCTCTTCCAGAGGACAAAGGTTCAATTTCTAGCATATACATAAAAGAAAAAAAAATCCTATTTTATAAAATAAAGATTTCTTTATTTTTATATTATGAGATTTTTGCTTTTATGCATACAGTGCACTGTGTATATGTCTGGTCCCTAAAGAAGCAGCTGGATCCCCTGGAACTGGAGTGGTTGTAATCCTCCATTTGTGTGCTGAGAACCAAACCTATGTTCTATGCAAGAACAACAAGTACCCTTAAGTGCTGAGTGATCTCTCTAGCCTCTTTGATTTTTTTTCAAAATTTAAAATTACATTTTATTTATGGGTTGGGATTTGCATATGTCATTCTGCAAATGTGAGACTAGAGGGCCCTGTGCAGTAGTAAGTTCTACATGGATCCTGGAACTCAGATTCAGGTTGTTAGAATTGATGACAGATGTCTTTATACTCTGAATCATGTTGACAGCCTAGGATCTTGAAATTGTAATAAAGGACTTGCCCTTACTCATCTGTTGCTGACATGGAAGGGACTTTGTTTCTTATAAGGCTGAACATAGCTTGGATGAACATAGCATAGGGAGAAATTTGGAATTACAATATTCGAATGCAGCCATTCACTAGCTACTGTTGCATTGGCTTTTATGTAGCTCAGACTGGCCTCAAAAGCCTAGGCATGTAGCCAAAGATGACCTTTAACTTCTGATTTTCCATTTCTATTCCTCAAGTGCTAGAATAACAGGTATGTATCATCATGCCTGTACATATGTTATTGTGAATCAAACCCAGGGCCTTGTTTGTATTAGACAAGTACCAACTCAGCTAGAACTTTAGCTCCCACTGTACCTGAAACTCACTATATAACCCAGGTTGGTCTTGAATGCTTAGAAATCTCCTGTCTCAAGCCATATGAGTGTCTGGCCCTGTATTATTAGGTCCTAATCTGTTCATTTACTAGATCAGCAAGAGTAATTTCTTATGGCTGTGTCTGGATCTGTGCTAGGTGCATGGATGTTTGAGAAGTGAAGCATTCTAGTCCTCTGCTGGCTCTGAGGCAGACTACCCCTGTTTATATTACTGTCCTGTTGACTTAAAGACTCCTTTGGGACACTTGGGACTTGGAGACTCCTTCCTTGAAGGAACACCAGATTTGTTTGGACAAGTTCTCAGGGCTGCTACTACTTTAATCATTCTTATTATTTGTATAATTTATTGGTGATTTCATAAGAATGTAGACTGTCCCAAACACTACAGGTGAGAGATAGTAAGACAGATAGGACCTATAGCTTAACTGAGGAGGCAAAGCTGCTTCTTAGAACAGTAGCCAAAGGCATGAGACAAAATGTAAGTTACACAATCCTCTGTGTGGTACATGCTGCAGAGCTGAAGATTCAAGGAGGTGAAGTCAGGTCCCACTTTCTGAAACAAGGCTGGAGGGGGCATCCCAAATAATTCTCTTAGTTGGCCTGGCAAATGCATGAAGGTGTCTATTTGACAGCTAGTCCTGGGAAGTCATGTTTTTCCAAACCTCATCTTCTGGATGATGGATGCTCTGGACTCAGGGCAGAGGCAGCCTAGACCTAAATGGACCAACAGATATCTGTATTACTTAGTGTCTTAGTTACTTTTCCTGTTGCTATGATAGTAATACCCTGACAAAGGCATGATGATAGGGAAGGCATGGCTGCAAGAGCTTGAGGCAGCTGCTTACATCTCATCTTCAAAAAGGAAGTGGAGAAACAAATGCTCCTACTCAGCTCACTTTCTCCTTTTAATTCAGTACTGGACCCCAACCCATAGAATAGTGCTGCCTACAGTGAATAGGTCTTCCCATCTCAATGTAGACAGTTCCACACAGACTTGCCAAGGCCTAACCTAATCCAGATACTCCCTTACAGGTATACTCAGAGCTTTGTCCCCTAGATGATTCTAGAATATTGTCAATTGGACATATTAACTATCACTCTTGGGTACCTCTTATTCCCCGTGGAGAATACCTGGTGGCATTGACATAATGTCACCTACTTTTTAGATCTTTGACTATTGTTAGTGTGGATTTCAAGAAGCTAAGAAATGGAGACTAGATCTGTAGTCAGCAGAAACTGTGGTCAAACCCTAACATTGCCTCTTGCTTGCTCCTTGACCTTATGCTGACTCTGATTAGGGCTTTATT